TATATATAAAATAAAAATCAATAAAATGTTGATAATAATAAATAAATATTTTACACATCCTGATCATACTTCAAAATATTTTAGATCAAGAACTGCCCTCATTTTAACATAATTTTAAATAGTTATAGTCCCTTTTATAATTGTTTAGTAGCCTGAACCCAAAATATATGATACTGTCAAACACAGGAAAAAAAAGTATTAATAATAATCTGTCAAGTGCAGGGATGCCTACTAAATATAATTCATAATGAGAATAGTTACATCAAGAAATTATGTGCTAGATGACGGTCACATCGGTTGTTATAAACACTTCCCAACACTTTATATTTATAAACTCATTAAAATGTGTGCACACAATCTTTCATCTGTAGCGTCGGGACATTTTGGCAAAAGCTTTCTCTGGTCAAGTGACTCACAGTCTGACCACACATTACAAATTCTCAGCCCCCAATGGCTGGCACTAAACACGCCACTGTCAAAAAAAAAAAGAAAGAAAGAAAATTGTCGAGCCACGGTACAGTATTTTTTGGAAAGCGGGGCATAGGTGAAGGCCAGGGGCTAATGGCAATGAGGGATTTGTCAGTCATCCTAACATTTAATAATCCCTGGCTCTCTGTTTTCTGCTGTTTGTTTATATTAACCTCTGGTTGAACCCACTTTAGAGGCAGCCTCTGTGCCAGAAAGTTCACTGAACATTCAGCATGGAAGCGGAGAACATGTCATCTCGAATCTATTAGCCCACAGGGGAGATTGCAGCAGTCCACGCACCACACACACACACACACACACAACTCGCATACACTCTAGGTAAGCTGCAAACCCTCACATTTTCTGTACTGATGGCGCCTGTAACTGAGATTATTGCATGCAATGACCTGATTCTGACCTCCCTTTTTCGCTCATGCTGAATAATCCTATTAAACAATGCAGTACATCTAACAGTTACTGCTTTCTACCGCATTCCGTGCAGTTCTCTTGTGCCATCACCATGAATGGGTTTAACGGTCCTGCTTTCATTGCATTTGTTGACTTAGCAAATTAATATGATCTCATATGGCTATGGGTAAGCAATATCTTTCGAGATGCACCTGGAAAGAAACGCTTGGATTATGAAGCTGAAAAAAAAACTCTGGATCCCTTTCATTATTCTAAGATGTATTTCTAACTTTTTTGAGAGTACTGTATATGGATGTATGATTTAATACTGTAGTGAGAACATAATGCAGCAGACAGTGTCTTGTAGGTTTGCATACTCACCATTGGGTGGTGATAAAGAGAAGACACTTCGAAAATATCTTCTTACATCCTCAAGGTGGGATGTTTGACGATCCAAGGTGAGTTGAGGTGGTCTTAACAGATTACAGAACAAACACCTTATCCTGTCAGTACAAAAATGAGTGTTATTTGCTACCTGGATCTCGACTGGAAAGTCTTGTAAACCATTTAATCCCAACAAATGAAGCTGTCACTTTAAATACTACATATATTTGTGCACTTGTATGCATGGATGTTTATCAGTAACACTGTATATCAGTAACATACATACCATGGTACTTCATTGTAAGTGAAGCCAGTGCCCAAAAAGATTTGCATACATCAGAGACTTCTGTTCCTTTGTGATGGATACCTTTACAGAAAGTGGTGGACATGAGTACAGTTATAAACATAGTGTATTTATTACATAAAGACCGACACAATGCAGCTAAATGAATATACTTTTGTGCTGTGAACTAATGGGATCATAATAACAAACCTTTCATTAGTTCTGTGGAAAGTTCTTTGGAAGTTTCTCGGGGTCAGAAACGCCTCTGAAAAGCATAACAGGTTTCCAGATTCATCTAGGAACTAGCGAACTTGTTTGGCTGCATGTACTCCAAAGCAAGCAGGCTGATTGGCTGAGTCAGAAACTAACCAATCAAAACAAAGTATAGGCAGTGCTGCTGGCCTAATCTCATCTCACATGCATGTATTCAATAAATAAATATTCAATAAATAAAATATTCAATATTTTTATCTAAATGTATTTTATTATCTAAATGTAATATGTAATCATTTATAATATTAGATTTATGAAATAATAATTAAAAAAATAATTATACTTTTTTTTGGAGAGGGGTTACTTTTATTTAACTCCAACATGTATTTCCTTAATTTTTATATTATCTGTTTCTGTACTGTAAAGTTAAACGAATTACAGTAATATCCAGATGGGAGGGGATAGTGCCTGAAAGACATGTAAATCAGCCAATTGCTGCATATACATAAACACTGGGCGTGGCCTCACTGGCCTGCAAACACCTCGCATATTGCATGGAGGGTGTACTGCTGCCTGCAGCATAGTGAGAAGTAATTATGTTTATTTATGTGGCGTATTTTAAACATTGTTAGATATTGTTGACGCGTCTTCATAAAGTTATGTTGACTTTGGCAAACATAGTAACTTAATGTCATTTGTTTTAAACCAAACATCACCTAAACAGCAGGCGAGTCAGAACTGTTGGACATGAGATTAGACAAGCCTTCTGTTTGATGTGTGTGTGTTATTGCAACGAGGCAGGCAAACAACATGAAATGTACTCGTATTTACTTTCCAGAAACCAAGATGACACATACCGAGGTAAAATCACTGGATGTGATTCTTGACAACAAGCAGAGAGTTGGTTACTGCTCTGGTGAAGTAGTGTCTGGACATGTTTCTCTCAAACTCTCGGAAGCCACCACAGTCAAAACCATAAACGTATTACTGAAGGGATATGCTCAGGTGAGTTGGATGCATAAACGATCCCGCTGTTCCGAAGAGAAGAAATGCCTCTCTTTATCCAAGACCCTTGTTCCAACAACAGGTAGGTCTGCAATATAAGCTGAACATCTTTTACTCATTAATATTTGTGATGATCGAAGTGTGATAGGTTGAATTGCCTTCAAACCCATTAATTAGTGTAGTACAATTTGATTTATTATTATTTGATCAGGTCCCCAAAACCTAATCCTTGATAGTGGCACATATGAGATCCCTTTTGATCTGAAACTACCTCAAAGGTAAGTGCAAATGTTTGATTTTTAGCATGTTAAGTAAGGCCATACCAAGCACAGGGCAGGGCCCAGTTCAAGTTAGAGGATGCAGGGTGCCCTTGGTCAATTCAGATTTTCTTTTCTTTCTGAGGACTTTCTACACAGCGCTGCCCTAGTGTTTTATATATATACATACATAAATGACTGAAACAGTGCAACATTATGAATTTACATTGTGTTAAGGCCTAACATAAAGGCTGTAAAGATTACGTTGTATTAATTGCAGTTCTCACTCTCAAAATAAACTATTGTGTTCCTCTTATTCCAAGCACTGACTTTTTTTTTTTGTTTTTTTGTCTCCTAGTCCTTTGGTTTCTTCTTTCTCTGGAAAACATGGTCGTGTTTACTACATGGTGCAGGCAGTTTTAAAAAGGCCATGCCATGAGAGTCAATGTGTTTGCAGAGAACTTTGCATCATCAGTCATATTGATGTCAATGTGCCAACATTAATCGTGAGTATGTCAGAAATGCCTTCTGCTTTCCCACACATACTCATTTTACTTCTGAAGGGCTTCTTGAACCTTGCATCTTAATATGCTTATTTCACTATATGGTAAGTGAAAAACAGTATATGAAATGAGTAGTATGTCTGAATTCCTGGTATTCCTTTCTTCCTGTTACACCTTTAATAGTATGTATCATCGTATTATGATGCCGTTTTTACATTGCAGATTTGCCCAAGTGAACCGTAATCTTTCAGCCAAGTTTCTTTTGTGGAGAAGACCAAAGAACCACCTTGTGCCTTAATTACACAAATTTTTTTTTTTTTCACGTTGTTTATGGATTACAGGTGAAATGTTTGTTTTAATCATGAGCTCATGTCAAAGTTCTGAAAGCGGTAGTCAAACACAGCCAGACTATTGTCAAGTTTTGTCCACTTTGCAACGTATTCTGTTTTTCTGCTGTTTTTCTGTACTTTTCTGTCTGTTATTGTGATATTAACTATTTAAATCAGTCTATAAACTGCACATAAAAAAACTCTAACTCACACTAACAGGACACATTGTCTAGCTGGGTGATTACTGGCCAGAATAAACTGCAATGTGGACCAGATTTCTAAAGTCTGGCTATGTAATACTACTGTCATGGCTTAAAGAAAATTATTGATAATTTTTGTAATTTGTGATCATAATGTCTAAATATTGTGGTTGTTTAATTATTTAGCACTGACACACTAAACTCTTTATATTATAAGGTGTTGTTTTGGGTCCAATTTGAGATATCACAAGTATACATTGATTCTCAGAGAAAAGGGTCACTGGGACCCTTTCAAAAGGTACATATGTGCACCTTATTTATTCCTAAAGGGTGAATTTCATTACCTTTAAGGTACATTTTGTACCATTTAGGTACTAATGTACCTAAATGGTACAAATTAGTACTTTTTTGAAAAGGTACCCACCTCAGTGAAAGCTTGTGTACTTTTTTTCTGAGAGTGTAGGTGCACTTATATTCATGTAATATGATTCATCATGTCTCGCTGGTAAATTATCACTAAAAACAACAACTAGAAAGCAACAAGCCAGATGGGGTAAACTGGATTTGTACTGTTTTCACAACATTAGAACTTAATAAAATTGTTAATTTTTTGTACAACTAATGATCTTTTGACTTATATGAAAATGTCTTCATTCATTTAGTGCGAGTGTAATGTAATAAGCAGAAACTCCCAGCCATAAAAAAAAAAATTCTAATTCTGAAGCAGCACAGCTGCATTAGTTGCACAAATGTTCATCAGTAACTCTTCACAGTCTCACCTGTCACAGAGGCCTTTCATTTGTATGGGAAAGATTAGAGTGGCATAACTAGATAGTTCCTTATTCAGTGTCAGAGATAAATACACTTTATATGATACTGATGTTAAAATTAACACCAACAATGAGTTTCAGAAAAGTGCACAACTGTAAAGAAATATACACTACACTTTTCATTGTCACAAACTATTTGGTTTTATTGAATGACTATTAATTACACTTTTGCACTTTCTAAATTTCAACATTTCTGTTATTATGTGTGTATTTTTTTTTTATTAAATATTCTAGATATATACACAATTATCTACATTTCTTTCTTTCAACAAATAATTATGTTTTTTCTGGCACATTCAATGGCTGTTTTGATAGAGAAAAATTGTTATTATTGCTGCATTCTGTTGTGTATTTTTTATTTTTTTTTTCAAACAAAGAATGATCTATAAATTGACCAGAAAAAAAGTGGTTCACCAGATATCCAAGTTAACAAATTTTGCAACAGAAATGTTACCATCATACAGTATGTGAACAAAGCTAATCATTTTTGCTCACAATCTGTGCTGCACATTGCATCAGTTTACAAAATGTTATGCTCTTTCCACCTGGTAGCAAATGAAAACATCAGCATCAAGCAATCTAAAAAAAAAGTACTTATAACTGAAAAATACACTTTCAGTAAACATTAAACATACTTCCACATACAGTACTGCACCCAAACGAGCATAAATACGATGAAAACCTACCTCACAATAGTGCACTCACTATGTATTTAACTTGCTGTCTCAGTAGTCCCATAAAGTGTATTATTGGACTGGCGGAGCTGCCTGAACTCTTGAGTGCCCTGAACCCAAAGAGATATCTCGGGTGAGATTTTATCCGAGTGTGAATGTGCAATATTTATAAGAAGTGTGAATTATTTAGCATGTGGCCATCACACAGCCAGCTGTTACCCTCTGAAATTCCTCTGTGCTACAGTAACATTCAGGCCTCTCTCACTCTAAATTAAGTGTTCAACATAAAACATGACTGTTACTCTTTCTTTGATGATTTTAGAATATGGATTTTGCATTTTTGTTTAGTTGAATGGGGATTTAAAGGAAAAGTTCACCCAAACATGAAATGTTGCCTAAAATTTACTCATCACTAGGTCATCCATGACACAACTTTTCACTTCTGATGACTTTGATTGACCAGAAATTTGTGGATTACTTGTGAATTGTTGTGATGCTTTTATCAGCTTTTTGGACTCTCATTCTGACGGCACCCATTCACTGCAGAGGATCCATTGGTGAGCAAGTGTAATGCTAAAAGTCTCCAAATCTGTTCCGATGAAGAAACAAACTCATCTACATCTTGGATGGCTTGAGGGTAATTTTCAGCGACTTTTTATTGTTGGATGAACCATTCCTTTAATTTGATCTTACACAGATCTAGACAGTTCCATCACCTCATATATTCAGAGAGGACTAATGGAGATTGAGTCACATCAGTTACAGCAAATCTTTGTTCAAACCCTAGCATAAATAGATCATCCACTGTGCTGCTTATTATTTGGTCAATATCCCATATGCTTCTTCCCAAGTCTCCTGTGCAGTCAACAAAAGACACTTTTTGTTGAGTTCAGTCATGTTTCTCATTGACACTTCTGAAATGAATGTACTTCTGCCAAACACAAATGAGCTTTTCACAGTGGAAAGTAGCAGCTAAACCCATAATACTTTCAACATTAAGATGCCAAACAAAATCCAAAAGACACTTTTGTTAGGGGAAAAAATTTACATAAAGATTTTGTGTAATTCGATGTTCCCTTTCAGTCGGTCACTCTCGACGTCACGTCGGATGACCGACGAAATTGGGATCTCGCTTAGAGAGACCAATCTACTTCGAGTGTAAACTAAACGAGCCAATGCACATTGGCATGCGATTA